AAATTTTGGGCTAAAAGTACCAAAAGTAGCCCAATATTGGGATAAAAAGTAGCGAAATTTTGGGCTAAAAGTAACAGAAGTAGCGAAATTTTTGGCTAAAAAGTAGCGAAAGTAGCGAAATTTTGGGCTACAATGTAGCGAAATTTTGGGCTAAACAGTAGCGAAAGTAGCTAAATTTTGGGCTAAAAGTAGCGAAAGTAGCCCAATTTTGGGCTAAAAAGTAGCAAAATTTTGGGCTAAAAGTAGCAAAATTTTGGGCTAAAAGTAGCGAAAGTAGCCCAATTTTGGGCTACAAAGTAGCGAAACTTTGGGCTAAAAAGTAGCAAAAGTAGCCCAATTTTGGGCTACAAAGTAGCGAAATTTTGGGCTAAAAAGTAGCGAAATTTTGGGCTAAAAGTAGCGAAAGTAGCCCAATTTTGGGCTAAAAAGTAGCGAAATTTTGGGCTAAAAAGTAGCGAAATTTTGGGCTACAAAGTAGCGAAAGTAACCCAATTTTGGGCTACAAAGTAGCGAAATTTGGGGCAAAAAAGTAGCGAAAGTAGCCCAATTTTGGGCTAAAAAGTAGCGAAATTTTGGGCTAAAAAGTAGCGAAAGTACCAAAATTTTGGGCTAAAAAGTAGCGAAATTTTGGGCTAAAAAGTAGCGAAAGTAGCGAAATTTTGGGCTAAAAGTAGCGAAATTTTGGGCTAAAAAGTAGCAAAAGTAGCTCAATTTTGGGCTACAAAGTAGCGAAATTTTGGGCTAAAAGTAGCAAAAGTAGCCCAATTTGGGGCTAGAAAGTAGCGAAATTTGGGGCTAAAAGTAGCGAAAGTAGCCCAATTTTGGGCTAAAAAGTAGCGAAATTTTGGGCTAAAAAGTAGCGAAAGTAGCGAAGTTTTGGGCTACAAAGTAGCGAAATTTTGGGCAAAAAAGTAGCGAAAGTAGCCCAATTTTGGGCTAAAAAGTAGTGAAAGTAGCGAAATTTTGGGTTAAAAAGTAGCGAAACTAGCGAAATTTTGGGCTAAAAGTACCAAAAGTAGCGAAATTTTTGGCTAAAAAGTAGCGAAAGTAGCGAAATTCTGGGCTACAATGTAGCGAAAGTAGCGATTTTTTTTGCTAAAAAGTAGCGAAATTTTGGGCTGAAAGTAGCGAAATTTTGGGCTAAAAAGTAGCGAAATTTTGGGCTAAATGTAGCGAAAGTAGCCCAATTTTTGCTAAAAAGTAGCGAAAGTAGCGAAATTTTGGGCTAAAAGTAGCGAAAGTAACCCAATTTTGGGCTAAAAAGTAGCGAAAGTAGCGAAATTTCGTGCTAAAAGTAGCAAAAGTTGCGAAATTTTGGGCTAAAAAGTAGCGAAAGTAGCGAAATTTTGGGCTAAAAAGTAGCGAAAGTAGCCCAATTTTGGGCTAAAAAGTAGCGAAATTTTGGCTAAAAGTAGCGAAATTAGCCCAATTTTGGGCTAAAAAGTAGCGAAATTTTGAGCTAAAAAGTAGCGAAAGTAGCGAAATTTTGGGCTAAAAGTAGCGAAAGTAGCCCAATTTTGGGCTAAAAAGTAGCGAAAGTAGCCCAATTTTGGGCTACAAAGTAGCGAAATTTGGGGCAAAAAAGTAGCGAAAGTAGCCCAATTTTGGGCTAAAAAGTAGCGAAAGTAACGAAATTTTGGGCTAAAAAGTAGCGAAACTAGCGAAATTTTGGGCTAAAAGTAGCGAAAGTAGGCCAATATTGGGATAAAAAGTAGCGAAATTTTGGCCTAAAAGTAGCAAATGTAGCAAAATTTTGGGCTAAAAAGTAGCGAAAGTAGCGAAATTTTGCGCTAAAAGTAACGAAAGTAGCCCAATTTTGGACTAAAAAGTAGCAAAATTTTGGGCTAAAAGTAGCGAAAGTAGCCCAATTTTGGGCTAAAAAGTAGCGAAATTTTGGGCTAGAAAGTAGCCCAATTTTGGGCTAAAAAGTAGCAAAAGTAGCGAAATTTTGGGCTAAAAAGTAGCGAAAGTACCAAAATTTTGGGCTAAAAAGTAGCGAAAGTAGCGAAATTTTGGGCTAAAAGTAGCGAAATTTTGGGCTAAAAAGTAGCGATAGTAGCGAAATTTTGGGCTAAAAGTAGCGAAATTTTGGGCTAAAAAGTAGCAAAAGTAGCCCAATTTTGGGCTACAAAGTAGCGAAATTTTGGGCTAAAAGCAAAAGTAGCCCAATTTTGGGCTAAAAAGTAGCGAAATTTTGGGCTAAAAGTAGCGAAAGTAGCCCAATTTTGGGCTAGAAAGTAGCGAAAATTTGGGTTAAAAAGTAGCGAAAGTAGCGAAATTTTGGGCTAAAAGTAACGAAAGTAGCCCAATTTTGGACTAAAAAGTAGCAAAATTTTGGGCTAAAAGTAGCGAAAGTAGCCCAATTTTGGGCTAAAAAGTAGCGAAATTTTGGGCTAGAAAGTAGCCCAATTTTGGGCTAAAAAGTAGCAAAAGTAGCGAAATTTTGGGCTAAAAAGTAGCGAAAGTACCAAATTTTGGGCTAAAAAGTAGCGAAAGTAGCGAAATTTTGGGCTAAAAGTAGCGAAATTTTGGGCTAAAAAGTAGCGATAGTAGCGAAATTTTGGGCTAAAAGTAGCGAAATTTTGGGCTAAAAAGTAGCAAAAGTAGCCCAATTTTGGGCTACAAAGTAGCGAAATTTTGGGCTAAAAGCAAAAGTAGCCCAATTTTGGGCTAAAAAGTAGCGAAATTTTGGGCTAAAAGTAGCGAAAGTAGCCCAATTTTGGGCTAGAAAGTAGCGAAAATTTGGGTTAAAAAGTAGCGAAAGTAGCGAAATTTTGGGCTAAAAGTAACAAAAGTAGCGAAATTTTGGGCTAAAAAGTAACGAAAGTAGCGAAATTTTGGGCTACAATGTAGCGAAAGTAGCGATTTTTTTGCTAAAAAGTAGCGAAATTTTGGGCTAAAAGTAGCGAAAGTAGCCCAATTTTGGGCTACAAAGTAGCAAAATTTTGGGCTAAAAGTAGCGAAATTTTGGGCTAAAAAGTAGCGAAATTTTGGGCTAAAAGTAGCGAAAGTAGCCCAATTTTGGGCTAGAAAGTATGAAATTTCGTGCTAAAAGTAGCAAAAGTAGCGAAATTTTGGGCTAAAAAGTAGCGAAAGTAGCGAAATTTTGGGCTAAAAAGTAGCGAAAGTAGTGAAATTTTGGGCTAAAAAGTAGCGAAATTTTGGGCTAAAAAGTAGCGAAATTTTGGGCTAAAAGTAGCGAAAGTAGCGAAATTTTGGGCTAAAAGTAGCGAAAGTAGCCCAATTTTGGGCTAAAAAGTAGCGAAATTTTGGGCTAAAAAGTAGCGAAATTTTGGGCTACAAAGTAGCGAAAGTAGCCCAATTTTGGGCTACAAAGTAGCGAAATTTGGGGCAAAAAAGTAGCGAAAGTAGCCCAATTTTGGGCTAAAAAGTAGCGAAAGTAACGAAATTTTGGGCTAAAAAGTAGCGAAATTTTGGGCTAAAAGTAGCGAAAGTAGCCCAATATTGGGATAAAAAGTAGCGAAATTTTGGGCTAAAAGTAGCGAAAGTAGCCCAATTTTGGGCTAAAAAGTAGCGAAATTTTGGGCTAAAAGTAGCGAAAGTAGCCCAATTTTGGGGTAAAAAGTAGCGAAAGTAGCAAAATTTTGGGCTAAAAGTAGCAAAAGTAGCCCAATTTTGGGCTAAAAAGTAGCGAAATTTTGTGCTAAAAGTAGCAAAAGTAGCAAAATTTTATGGCTAAAAAGTAGCGAAAGTAGCGAAATTTTAGGCTAAAAAGTAGCGAAAGTAGCGAAATTTTGGGCTAAAAGTAGCCCAATTTTGGGCTAAAAAGTAGCGAAAGTAGCCCAATTTTGGGCTACAAAGTAGCGAAATTTTGGGCTAAAAGTAGCGAAAGTAGCGAAATTTTGGGCTAAAAGTAGCGAAAGTAGCCCAATTTTGGGCTAAAAAGTAACGAAAGTAGCGAAATTTGGGGCTAAAAGTAGCGAAAGTAGCCCAATTTTGGGCTAAAAAGTAGCGAAAATTTGGGCTAAAAGTAGCGAAATTTTGGGCTAAAAAGTAGAGAAAGTAGCGAAATTTTGGGCTAAAAAGTAGCAAAATTTTGGGCTAAAAGTAGCCCAATTTTGGGCTAAAAAGTAGCGAAAGTAGCGAAATTTTGTGCTAAAAAGTAGCGAAATTTTGTACTACAAAGTAGCGAAAGTAGCGAATTTTTTTGCTAAAAAGTAGCGAAAGTAGCGAAATTTTGGGCTAAAAGTAGCGAAAGTAGCCCAATTTTGGGCTAAAAAGTAGCGAAATTTTGGGCTATAAGTAGCGAAAGTAGCCCAATTTTGGGCTAAAAAGTAGCGAAATTTTGGGCTAAAAAGTAGCGAAATTTTGGGCTAAAAGTAGCGAAAGTAGCCCAATTTTGGGCTATAAAGTAGCGAAATTTTGGGCTAAAAAGTAGCGAAATTTTGGGCTAAAAGTAGCGAAAGTAGCCCAATTTTGGGCTACAAAGTAGCGAAAGTAGCAAAATTTTGGGCTAAAAAGTAGCGAAAGTAGCGAAATTTTGGGCTAAAAGTAGCGAAAGTAGGTTAGGTTAGGTTAGGTTAGGTTAGTTAGGTTAGGTTAGGTTGGTTAGGTTATGTTTAGGTTAGGTTAGGTTAGGTTAGGTTAGGTTAGGTTTAGGTTTGGTTAGGTTAGGTTAGGTTAGGTCAGGTCAGGTCAGGTCAGGTTAAGTTAGGTTAGGGACCGCCAGAAGGCATTTAGGGGCCCCTCTAGGGACGTCCAAGGGCCTCCAGGGACCTCCAGGGACATCCGAGGGGCCTCCAAAGACCTCCAGGGACCTTCAGGTACCTCCAGGGGTCGCAAGGGACCTCCAGTGACATTCAGGTGGGCCTCCAGGGACATTCAGGTGGGCCTCCAGGGACCTCAAGGGGCCTCCAGAGACCTCAATGGGCCTCCAGGGACCTCAAGGGGCCTCCAGGGACCTCAAGGGGCCTCCAGGGACCTCAAGGGGCCTCTGGGGGGTTCCTCCAAATACCTTCACGGGGCCTCCAGAGACCTCCATGGGCCTCCAGCGGCCTCCAGTGACCTCCAGGGGCCTCCAGGAGCCTTTAGGAACCTCCAGGAGGCATTTAGGGGCCTCCAGGTACCTCCAAGGGACTCCAGGGCCCTCCAAGGACCTCAAGGGCCCTCCAGGGACCTCAGGGGCCTTTAGGAGGGCCTGCAGAGACATCGTAGGAGCCCTCTAAAGACCTCCAGGGGCCTCCATTGATCTCCAGGGGCCTCCATGGGCCTTGAGGGACCTCCAAGGACCCCCCAGGGGTCCTAAGGGACATCCAGGGACATTCACGTCGGCCTCCAGGGGCCTCTGGGGGTCCTGGAGGAACATCCTAGGGGCCTCTAAGTACCTCCAGGGGCCTCCAGAGACCTCCAGGTGTCTCTAGGGACCTCCAGGAGGCATTTAGGGACCTCCAGGGACCTCCAAGGGCCTCCAAGGACCTCAAGAGGACTCCAGGGACCTCAACGGGCCTTTAGGGAACTCTAAGAGGCATTTCGGGGCCTCCAAGGACATTTAGAGGCCTCTAGGGACCTTAAGGTGCCCCACGGACCTACAGGGACCTCACGGGGCCTGTAGGGGCGCCTCCAGGGACATCCTAGATGCCTCCAAACACCTCCAGTTGCCTCAAAGGACTTACAGGGTCATTCAGGTGGCGTCCATGGGCCTCCAGAGACTTCCAGGGACCTCCAGGGGTCTCCAGGGACTTCCAGGGGTCTCCAGGGGCCTCAAGGGGTCTTTAGGAGGGCCTGCAGAGACATCGTAGGGCCTCTAAAGATCTCCAGGGGCCTCTAGATACCTCCATGGGCCTCCTGGGACCTCCACGAGTCTTTACGAACCTCCAGGAGCCTCAAGGGACCTCCAGGGTCATTCTTGTGGCCTCCCGGGAAATCCAGGGGCCTTTATAGACCTCCAGAAGGCATTTATGGGCCTCCAGGGGCATCTAAGGGACGTCCAAGGGCCTTTAGGGACCTCCAGGGACCACAAGGGGCCTCTAAAGACATCTTAGGGACTTCCAGGGACCTCCAGAGGCCTCAGGGACGTCCAGGGGCCTCCAGGGACATCCAGAGACCTCCAGGACTTCTCAGGGACCTTCAGGAGCCTCAAAGGACCTCTAGGGACATTCACGTGGCCTCCAGGGGTCTCTAGGAACCTCCATAAGGCATTTAGAGGCTTCCAGGGATCTCCTAGTGACGTTCAAGGGCATCTAGGAACCTCCAGGGGCCTTTAGGGACTTCTAGAAAGCATTTAGGGACCTCCCGGGGCCTTTAGGGAAATCCAGCAGGCATTTAGGGGCCTCCAGGGGCCTTTAGGGACCTCCAGAAGGCATTTAGGTACCTGCAGGGGACGTCCAAAGGCATCCAGGGACCCCCAGAGGCCTCAACGGACCTCCAGTGACATTCAGATGGGCCTACAGGGACTTCAAGGGGCCTCCAGAGACCTCCAAGGGCCTCCAGTGACGTCTAGGGGGCCTGCAGGGATATCCTAGGGGCTTCCAAAGACCTAGACCTTCAGGGGCCTTCAAAGACCTCCAGGGTCCTCCAAGGACCTCCAGGGGGCCTTCAGGGACATCCAGGGACCCCCAGGTGCCTCAGACATTCCTCCAGGGACATTCGGGTGGGCCTCCAGGGACCTCAAGGGGCCTCCAGGGTCCTCGAAGGGCCTTCAGGAACCTCAAGGGGCCTGTAGGGACATCCTAGGGGCCTCCAAAGATCTCCAGGAACCTCCAGGTACCTCCAGGGGCCTTTAGGGACCTCCAGGAGGCATTTAAGGGCCTCCAGGCGGTATTTAGGGGCCTCCAGAGACCTCAGGAGGCCTCCAGGGACCTCCAGGGACATCCTAGGGGGCCTCCAGGGCCCTTAAAGGGCCTCCAGGAGCATCCAGGGGCCTCAAAGGTCCACCAAGGACATTCAGGTGGCCTCCAGGGGGCCTCCAGAACCTCTAGGAACCTCCAGGGGTCTTTACGGACCTTCAGGAGGCATTTAGGGGCCTCCGGGGATCTCAAGCGAACCTCCAAGGGCCTCCAGCGACGTCCATGGGCCTCCAGGGACCACTACGGGCCTTTAGGGAGCCTTTAGAGACATCTTAGGGGCCTCCAAAGACCTTTATGGGCCTTCAGGGACCTGCAGAGGCTTCCAGAGACCTCCAGAAGCCTCAAGGGACCTCTAGGCACATTTACGTGGCCTCCAGGGAAATCCAGGGGCTTTGAGGGACCTCCAGGGGCCTTTAGGGACCTCCAGGAGGCATTTAGGGGCCTCCAAGGGCCCTCAAAGGGCATCCAGAGACATTCCGGGACCTCCAAGAGGCATTTAGGGACCTCCAAGAGGCATTTAGGGGCCTCCAGGGACCTCCACGGACCTCCAGAGACCTCCGCGGACCTCCAGAGACCTCCACAAGGGGCCTGTAGGGGAGCCTCTAAAGACATCTTAACGGCCTCCAAAGACCTCCGTGGGCCTCCAGGGACGTCCAGGGGCCTCTAGTGATCTCCAGGAGCCTCAAGGGACCTCTAGGGACATTTATGTGACCTTCAGAGGCCTTTAGGAACCTCCAGGAACCTCCAGGGGCTTTTAGGGACCTTCAGAGGGCATGTAAGGGCCTCCAGGGGATTTTACGGACCTCCAGAAGGCATTTCGGGGCCTCCAGGGGGCCTCCAGGGACATCCGAGGGGCCTACAAAGAACTCCAGGGACCTCCGGATGGCCTTCAGGGGCCTCCAGGGACCTCCAGGAGCCCCCAGGGACCCCCAGGATCCTCAAGGGACCTTCAGGGACATTCAGGTGGGCCTCAAGGGGCCTCTAGGGGGGCCTGCAGGGACATCCTAGGGACTTCCAAAGACTTCCAGGGACCTCCAGGGGACTCTTGAAACATCTTAGCGCTCTTCAAAGACCTTCATGGGCCTTCAGGGACCTACAGAGGCTTCCAAGGACCCCCAGGGGCCTCAGGGGACCTCCAGGGACATTCAGGTGGACTTCCAGGGATCTCCAGGGGCCTCCAGGGACCTCCAAGGGCCTCCAGTGACTTCAAGGGGGCCTTTAGAGGGCCTGCAGGGACATCCTAGGGGCCTCCAAAGACATCCAGGGGCCTCCAAAGACCTCCAGGGTCCTTTAGGGACCTCCAGGAGGCATTTAGGGACCTCAAGAGGCCTCCAGGGACCTCAAGGGCATTTTGGGACCTCCAAGAGGCATTTAGGGGCCTCCAGGGACCTCCAGGAGCCTCAAGGGACCTGCAAGGTCATTCATGTGGCCTTCAGGGGCCTCCAGGGACCCCCAGGGACCTCCAGGAGGCATTTAGGGGCCTCCAGCGACCTCTAAAGGACGTCCAAAGGCCTTCGTGGACCTTGAGGGGGCCTTCAGGGACCTCAAGGGGCCTCCAGGTACCACCACGGGGCCTCCAGGGGCCTCAAGGGACATTCCAGGGGCCTCAAGGGACATTCCAGTGGCCTCCAAAGACCTCCTGGGGGCCTCCAGGGACATTCAGGTGTCCCCCAAGGGCCTCCGGGGACCTGTAGGGACCTCAATGGGCCTCCAGTGACCTCCAGGGGCCTCCTGGGACCTTACGGGGCCTGATGGAACATTCTAGGGGCCCTCCAAAGCCCTTCAGGGGCCTCCAGGGACCTCCAGGGGCCTCAAGGGGCTTCCAGGGACCTCAAGAGGCCTTTAGAGGGCCTGCAGAGACATCGTAGGGGCCTCCAGGGGCCCCCAGAGACCTCCAGGGGCCTGAAGTGACATCCGAGGGGCCTCCAAAGACCTCCAGAAGCCTCAAAGGACCTCAAGCGGCCTCCAGGGACCTCAAGAGGCCTTTAGGGGGCCTGCAGAGACATCGTAGGGACCCTTAGGGACCTTCAGGGGGCCTCCAGGGACCTTCAGGGGCCTCTAAGGGGCCTTCAGGGACATCCAAGGGGCCTCCAGGGACCTCCAAGGACCTCAAGGGATCTCCAGGGACCCTCCAGGTGTCTCAAAGAACCTCCAGGGACTTTCAGGTGGCCTCCAGGGACCTCCAGGGGTCTTTAGGGACCCCAAGAAGGCATTTAGGGACCTCCAGGGGACTTTAGGGATCTCCAGAAGGCATTTAGGGGCCCCTCTAGGGGCCTCCAAAGGCCTCCAGGGGCCTCCACGGACCTCCAGGAGTCTCCAGGGACCTCCAGGAGTCTCCAGGGACCTCCAAGGGCTTTAGAAGACCTCCAAAGGCCTCCAGGGACCTCCAGGAGTCTCCAGGGACCTCCGAGGGCTTTAAAGGACCTCCAAAGGCCTCCAGGGAACCTCCAAGGGCCTCCAGGGACCTCCAAGAGCCTCAAAAGACCCCCATAGGGTCATTCATGTGGCCTCCAGGGGCATCCAAGGGCTTCTACAGACCTTCAGCGGCCTCCAGGGACCTCAAGGGGCCTCCAGGGACCTCCAGGGGCCCTCAAAGGACCTCCAGTGGCCCTCAAAGGATCTCCAGGGGCCCTCAAAGGACCTCCAGGGACCCTCAAAGGACCTCCAGGGACATTCAGGTGGCTTCCAGGGGGCCTTTAAGACCTCCAGGAGGCATTTAAGGGCCTAAAGGGACCTCCAGAGGGACCTCCAAGGGCCTCCAGGGACCTCCACAAGGGGCCTCTAGGGGGGCCTCTAAAGACATCTTATGGCCCCCAAAGACCTCCAGAGGCCTCCAGGGACATCCAGAAGTCTCATGGGACCTCCAGGGATATTTACGTTGCCTCAAGGGACCTCTAGGGACCTCCAGGGGCTTCCATGGACCTCAAAGGGCTTTTACGGACCTCCAGGAGGTATTTAGGGGCCTCCAGGAACCTCCAAGGGATGTCCAAGGGCATCCAGGGGCCTCCAGGGACCTCAATGGGCCTCCAGGGACCTTAAGGGGCCTTTAGGGGGTCTGTAGACACATCGTAGGGGCCTCCAGAGACCTCCAGGGCCCTCCATGGACCTTCAGAGCCTCCAGGGACCTTTAGGGGCCTCCAGGGACCTCAAGGGGCCTCTAGGGGACCTCCAGGGACATCCGAGGGGCCTCCAAACACCTCCAGAGGTCTCCAGGTACCTCTAATAGCTTCCAGGGACCTCCAGGGACATTCAAGAGGCCCTCAAGGGCCTCCAGGGACCTCCAGGGGCCTCTACGGGGGCCCCTACAGAGACATCTTAGGAGGTCCCAAAGTGGCCTCCAGCGTCCTCCAGTGACCTCCAGGAGCCTCCAGTTGCCTCCAGGGACCTCCAGGAGCCTCAACGGACCTCCAGGGAAGTTCACGTGGCCTCCAAAGGCCCTCTAGAGACCTCAAGGGGCCTTTAGGGACCTCCCAAGAGGCATTTAGGGGTCTCTAAAGATCTTCAAAGGCCTCCAAGGACCTCAAGGGGCCACAGGGACCTCAAAGGGCCTCCAGGGATATCAAGGGACCTCCAGGGACCACAAGGGGCCTCTAGAGACATCTTTGGGGCCTCCAAAGACCTCCAGGAACCTCCAGGGGCCTCTAGGGACCTCCAGGGACCTCTCGGGGCCTCCAGAGACCTCTCGGGGCCTTCAGGGACCGCCAAGAGCCTCCAGCAACCTTAAGGGGCCTCCAGGGATATCCGAGAGGCCTCCAAAGACATCCAGGGGTCTCCAGGGACCTCCAAGGGCTTCCAGCGACCTCCAGAGACCTCTAGATGCTTCAAGGGACCTCCAGGGACAATCAGGTGGCCCCCAAGGGCCTTTAGAGACCTCCTTGGACCTCCAAAGGCCTCAAGGGGCCTCCAGTGACCTCAAGGGGCCTCCAGGGACTTCCAGGGACCTCTATGGGGCCTCCAGGGACATCCGAGGGGGCCTCCAAAGACCTCCAAGGGCCTCCACGGACCTCCACGGACCTCCAAAGGCCTTCTGGAGCCTCCAGGGACCTCCAAGAACCTTCAGGAGGCATTTAGGGGCCTCCAAGGGCCCCCAGAGGCCTCCAGGAACCTTCAGGAGCCTCCATGGACCTCCAGGAGCCTCAAGGGACCTGCAGGGTCATTCATGTGGCCTCCAGGGACCTTCAAGGGCTTTTACAGACCTCCAGAAAGCGTTTAGGGGCCTCCAGGGACCTGTAGGGGACGTCCACGGTCCTTCAGGGACCTCCAGGGGCCTTTAGGGACCTTCAGGAGGCATATAAGTGCCTCCAGGGGACGTCCAAAAGCCTCAAAGGACCCCCAGGGGCCTCCAGGGACCGCCAAGGGCCTCCAGCGACCTCAAGGGGCCTCTAGGGGACCTCCAGGGGTCTCCAGGGACCTCCAAAGGCCTTCAAGGACCTCCAGGGGCCTCCAGCGACCTCTAGGGACCTACAGGGACATTCAGGTGGCTCCCAAGGGCTTCCAGGAACCTCAAGGGGCCTCCAGGGACCTCCAGGGACCTTAAGGGGCCTCCAGGGACGTTCAGGGACTTCCAGAGACCTCTAGGGGGCCTCCAGGGGCATCCGACGGGGCCTTCAAAGACCTCCAGGGACCACCAGGAGTCTCCAGGGACCTACAAGGGCGTCCAAAGGCCTCCAAGAGCCTCCAGGAGGCATTTAAGGGCCTCCAGGGACCTCCAAAGGCCTCCAAGGACCCCTCAGGAGCCTCCTGGGACCTCAAGGAGCCTCAAGGGACCTCTAGGGGCCTCAAGGGACCTGCAGGGTCATACGTGTGGCCTCCAGGGACCTCCAAGGGCTTTTACAGACCTCCAGGAAGCATTTAGGGGCCTCCAGGTACCTCAAGGGGCCTCCAGGGGACCTCCCGGGGCCTCCAGGGACCTCAGGAGGCCTCCAGGGACCTCAAGGGGCCTCCAGGGACATCCTAGGGACTTCCAGGGGCCCTTAAGGGACCTCCAGGAGCATCCAGGGGCCTCAGCGGACCTCCAGGGACATTCAGGTGGCCTTCAGGGGCCTCCAGAACCTCTAGGGACTTCCAGGGGTCTTTACGGACCTCCAAAAGGCATTTAGGGGCCTCCGGGGACCTCAAACAAACCTCCAAGGGCCTCCAGCGACATCCATGGGCCTCCAGGGACCACTAGGGGCATTTAGGGAGCCTCTAGAGACATCTTAGGGGCCTCCAAAGACCTCCATGGGCCTTCAAGGACCTCCAGAGGCTTCCAGGGACCTCCAGAAGTCTCAAGGAGCTTCTAGGGACATTTACGTGGCCTTCAGGGAAATCCAGGGGCTTTCAGGGACCTCCAGGGGCCTTTAGGGACCTCCAGGAGGCATTTAGGGGCCTCCAGGAAACTTCAGGGGACCTTCAAGGGCCTACAGGGACCTCCACAGACCTCCAGAGACCTCCACAAGGGGCCTGTAGGGGGCCTCTAAAGACATCTTAAGGGCCTCCAAAGACCTCCGTGGGCCTCCAGGGACGTCCAAGGGCCTCTAGTGATCTCCAGGAGCCTCAAGGGACCTCTAGGGACATTTATGTGGTCTACAGAGGCCTCTAGGAACCTCCAAAGACCTCCAGGGGCTTTTAGGGACCTTAAGAGTGCATTTAAGGGCCTCCAGGGGATTTTAGGGACCTCCAGATGGCATTTCGGGGCCTCCAGGGGGCCTCTAAGGGACATCTGAGGGGCCTACAAAGACTTCCAGGGACCTCTGGAGGGCCTTCAGGGGCCTCCAGGGGGCCTCCAGAGACCTCCAGGAGTCCCTAGGGACCCCCAGGAGCCTCAAGGGACCTCCAGGGACATTAACGTGATCCTCCAGGGCCCTGTAAAGGCCTCAAGGGGCCTCTAGGGGGCCTTGCAGGGACATCCTAGGGGCTTCCAAAGACCTTCAGGGACGTCCAGGGGACTCTAGAAACATCTTAGGGATCTCCAAAGACCTCCATGGGCCTTCAGGGACCTCAAAGGACCTCCAGGGACATTCAGGTGAGCCTCCAGGGACCTCAAAGGCCTCTAGTGACTTCAAGGGGCGTCTAAGGGGCCTGCAGGGACATCTTAGGGGCCTCCAAAGACCTCCATGGGCCTCCAAATACCTCCAGGGGCCTTTAGGGACTTCCAGGAGGCATTTAGGGACCTCAGGAGGCCTCCAAGTACCTCAAGGGGCCTTTAGGGACCTCCAAGAAGCATTTAGGAGCCTCCAGGAGACCTCCAAGGGCCTCCAGTTACCTCCAGGGACCTCCAGGAGCCTCCACGGACCTCCAGCAGCCTCAAGGGACCTGCAAGGTCATTCATGTGGCCTCCAAGGGCCTCTAGGGACTTCCAGGAGGCATTTAGGGGCCTCCAGTGCCCTCTAAAGGACGTTCAAAGGCCTTCATGGACCTCCAGGGGCCTCCAGGGACCTCAAGGGGCCTCCAGGTACCTCCAGGGGGCCTCCAGGGGCCTCTATGGGGCCTCAAGGGACATTCGAGGGGCCTCCAAAGACCTCCTTGGGCCTCCAGGGATAAGGTTAATCGGATTATACCTTCCTTGAAAGGCGTGGTGAGATGTTTGAGGCCAGGGCGGACTGGAGGCAGTCTGGTTGTGGGAGTGGAACTGGCAAGTCCTCCGGGGTCTCCGTCTGTGGCAGCAGCGAAGTGTAGCAGACAGCTATGCGAGAGCCTGATGTGATCTTAGTGACCAAGTTAAGTCTGCAGTATGTGAGTATTGAATGAAAGACTAACCGGGTGTGGAGCGTTGTAGTAATCAATCCGTATTAGGGACTTAGGCGGAAGTTACGAGTGCAAGTGATGACCGCGGAGGTCAAGTGGTTTATGGGTATTGGAAGTGTTTTTACCTAAGAGAGTATATTAATATGTTATTAATTGTCAGAGTCTATTCTTGAAATTAAATGACAAAACCCGACGGCCTTTAAATACCTTTCATATTTTCACTCATTGTGTTCCAGTACAAACCTAGTGGTACGCCTCAAGGGTCTGGTGTGTGTAGGAGTACACGGTGGTGGGAACGGTTGCTGAGGCAAGGTGTTATGTGTTGTGTAATCGCTGTGTTCGGAATGAACCGGGGTTCAGCATCACGACAACCTCCAGGCACCTCCAGGGGACCTCCAAGGGCCTCCTAGGACCTCCACGGGCCTCCAGGTACCACAAGGGGCCTCTAGGGGCCAATAAAGACATGTTAGGGGGCCTCCAAAGGCCTCCAGGGACCTCCAGGGACTTCTAGGGACATTAACGTGACCTCCAGAGACTTCCGGGGGCCTCTAGGGACCTCCAGGAGACACTTAGGGGCCTCCATGGGACGTCCAAGGGCCTCCAGGAACCTCAAGGGACCTCCAGGGGTCCTCCAGGGACCTCAAGGGGCCTCCAGGGACATCCGAGGGGCCTTCAGGGACCTCCAGGGGCCTCCAGACACATCACGGGGCCTCTAGGGGGCCCTGCAGGGACATCCTAGTGACCTCTAAAGACCTCCAGGAGTCTTCAGAAGCCTCCAGGGACCTCAAGGGGCCTTTAGGGGGGCCCTCCATGGACATTCGAGGGTCCTCCAAAGACCTACAGAGGCCTTCAGGGACCTCAAGGAGCCTCCCGGGACCTCCAGGAGCTTCTAGGGACCTCCAGGGGCCTCAAGGGACCTCCAGGGACATTCAATTGGCTTCCAAGGGGCCTCCAGAGACCTCCAGGGGTTTTCAGGGACCTCAAGAGGCGTCCCGGGACCTCCAGAAACCTCCAGGGGTCTTGACAGACCTCCAGGAGGCATTTAGGGGCCTCCAGAGACCTCCAAGGGCCTCCAAGGGCCTCCAAGGATCTTCAAGGGCCTCCAAGGACCTCCACGGGCCTCCAGGGACCACAAGGGGCCTCTAGAGACATCTTAGGGGCCTCCAAAAACCTTCGTGGGCCTTCAGGAACCTCCCAGAGGCTTCCAGGAGCATCAAGGGACCTCCAGGGACATTCACGTGGCCTCCAGACGCCTCTAGGGACCTCCAGGGGCTTCCAGGGACCTCAAAGGGCCTTTAGGGACCTCCAGGAGGCATTTAGGGGCATCCAGGAACTTCCAAGGGACGTTCAAGAGCCTGAAGATACCTCAAAGGGCATTTAGGGGCCCTTCTAAGAACATCCAGAGGCCTCCAAGGACCTCTAGGAGCCCTCCAGGGACCTCAAGGGGCCTCCAAGGACCTCCAGGAGCCCTCCAGGGACCTCAAGGGGCCTCCAGGGACATCCTAGAGGCCTCCAAAAACCTCCAGGGCCCTTCAAGGACGTCAAGGGGCCTCCAGGGACCCCCCTGGAGCCTCCAGGGACCTCCAGGGGCCTCAAAGGACCTCCAAAGACATTCAGGTGGCCTCCAGGGACTTACAGGGGTTTTTACAGACCTCCTGGAGGCATTTAGAGGCCTCCAGGGACCTCCAAGGGCCTCCAGGGACCTCAAGGGGCCTCTAGAGCATCTTAGGGACCTCCAAAGACCTCTATGGGCCTCCAGGGGCCATTAAGGACCTCCAGAAGGCAATTAGGGGCATCCAGGGACCTCTAGGGGGCGTCCAAGGGCCTCCAGGGACCTTCAACAGTCTCCAGGGACCTCAAGGGGCCTCTAGGGGGCCTCCAGGTACCTCAAGGTGGCCTCCAGGGGCATCCAAAGGGCCTCCAAAGACCTCCAGGGGCCTCTTGTGACGTCAGGGGCTTTTAGGGACCTTAATAAGGCATTTAGAGACCTCCAGGGGGCCTCCAAGGGCCTCCAGGGACCTATAGAGGCTTCCAGGGACCTCAAGGGGCCACAAGTGACCTCCAGAGGCATCCAGGGACCTCAAAAGGCCTCTAGGGATTTCCAGAGGCCTTCAGGGACCTCAAGGGGTCTCCGAGGACCTCCAGGAGCCTCTAGGGGCTTCAAACGACCTCCAGGGACATTCAGGTGGCCTCCAGTGACCTCCAGGGGTCTTTACGGACCTCCAGAAGGCATTTCGGGTCCTCCAGGCACCTCCAGGGAAACTCCAAGGGCCTCCATGGGCCTCCAGGGTCCACAAGGGGCCTCTAGGGGGCCAAATGACATGTTAGGGGCCTCCAAAGACCTCCATGGGCCTCAAGGGACATCCAGACCTCTACAGGGACGTTCAGGGGCCTCCAGGAACCTCCAGAAGCCTCCAGGGACCTTCAGGGACTTCTAGGGACATTAACTTGGCCTTCAGGGACTTCCAGGGGCCCCTCTAGGGACCTTCAGAAGGCATTTAGGGGTCTCCAGGGGACGTCCAAGGGCCTGTATGGACCTAAAGGGGCCTCCAGGGACCTCAAGGGGCCTCCAAGGACCTCAAGAGGCCTCTAGGGACCTCAAGGGGTCCTCTAGGGACCTACAGAGGTCCTCCAGGGACCTCAAGGGGCCTCCAGGTACATCCCAGGGGCCTCCAAAGACCTCCAGGGGTCTTTAGGGACCTCCAGGAGGCATTTAGGGGCCTCTAGGAGACCTCCAAGGGCCTTTAATGACCTCCAAGAGGCATTTAGGAGCCTCCAAGGACCTCCAGGGGCCTTTAGTGATCTCCAAGCGGCATTTGGGAGCCTCCAAAGACCTCCAGGGGCCATCAGGGACGTCAAGCAGTATCCAGGGACCTCTAGGAGTCTCCAGGGGCCTCAAGGGACCTCCAGCGACATTCAGGTGACCTCCAGGGGCCTTCAGACACCTCCAGAGCCTTCCAGGGACCATCAGGGGTCTTTACAAACCTCCAGGAGGCATTTAGGGTCCTCTAGGGTCCTCCAGGAGTCTTTACACACCTCCAAGAGGCATTTAGGGGCCTCTAGGGACCTTCCGGGGACCTCCGAGGGACTCAACGGGCCTCCAGGCACCTTAAGTGGCCTCGAGACATCTTAGGGGCCTCCAAAGACCTCTCAATGGCCCTCCAGGGGCCTCCAGTTACCTCCAGGAGCCTTCAGGGACCTCCAAGAGCTTTAAGGGACGTCCAGGGACATTCACGTGGCCTGCAGGGGCATCCAGGGACCTCCAGGGGCCTTTAGGGACATCCAAGTGGCATTTAGAGGCCTCCAGCTACCTCTAGGGGACGTCTAAGGGCCTCCAGGAACCTTCAGGGGCCTCCGGGGGCCTTCAGAGACCTCAAGGGGCCTCTAGGAGGCGTCCAGGGATATCCGAGCGGCCTCCAAAGACCTCCAGGGGCCTTCAGGGACGTCAAGGGGCCTCCAGGGCCTCCAGGAGCCTCCAGGGACCTCCAGGGACATTCAAGTGGCCTCCAGGGGCCTCCAGAGACCTCCAGGGCCCTTCTGGGACCTCCAGGGTTTTTTACTGACTTCCAGCAGGCATTTAGGAGCCTCCAGGGACCTCCAACGGCCTCCAGGGACCTCCACGGGCCCCCCAGGGACCTCAAGAGGCTTCCAGAGACCTCCAGGGGCCTCCAGGTACCTCCAAGAGCCTCAAGAAACCTCCAGGGACATTTACGTGGCCTCCAAGGGCTTTCAGGGACCTCCAGGGGCCTCAAGGGACCTCCAGCGGCCTCCAGGGACATCCGATGGGCCTCCAAAGACCTCTAAGGGCCTCCAGGGAGCTCCAAAGGCCTCCAAGGACCTCAAGAAGCCGCAAGGGACCTCCAGGGGCCTGCAGGGACCTCAAGGGGCCTTTAGGAGGCCTCCAGAGACCTGCAGGGGACCTCAAGGGACCTCCAGGGACATCCAGGGGCCTCAAGGGACCTCCAGGGATTTTCAGGTGGCTTCCAGGGGCCTACAGAGACCTCCAAGGCCCTCCAGGGACCTCCAAAGGTCTTTACAGACCTCCAGGAGGCATTTAGGGGCCTCCAGGGGACCTCCAAAGACCACGGGCCTCCAGGGACCACAAGGGGCCTCTAGGGAGCCTCTAGAAACATCTTAGGGGCCTCCAAAGACCGCCATGGGCGTCCAGGGACCTCTAGAGGCCTCCAGGGACGTCCAGGGGCCTCCAGGGACGTCCAGGAGCCTCACGGGACTTTCAGGAGCCTCAAAGGGCCTCCAGAGACATTCACGTGGCCTCCAGGGACCTTCAGGGGCCTCCAGGGACCTCAAGGAGCCTCCAGGGACCTCTAGGGGCCTTAAGGGACCTCTTAGAAGCATTTAGGGGCCTCCAAGGACCATTAGAGTCCTCTAGAGACCTCAAGAGGCCTCCAGGGACATCCAGGGGCCTCTAGAGACATCTTAGGGGCCTCAAAAGACCCCCGTGGGCCTCCAGAGACCTCCAGAAGCTTCCAGAGGCATTTTTAGGGACCTCCAAGAGGCATTTAGGGGGCCTCGAAGGACCTCCAAGGGCCTTTAGTGATCTCCAAGAGGCATTTAGGAGCCTCCAAAGACCTCCAGGGGCCTCAAGGGACCTCCAGGGGCGTCAAGGGACCTCCAGGGACATTCAG